CTATGAACGCTCGAATATAATTAATGTTATTCACACATTAATGAACTCCAAATACTTCACTCTTAATAAGACAAAATATTTTGACACAACACCTTCAAATAATGAATCAAGTAACGAAGACGGAACACCCGAGTTTAGCTCGCGGACACGGGTAACGAAGCGGAACACCACGAGCTTAGCCTGCCTGTGACTACGGGTAACGAAACGGAACCCACGAGCTTAGCTCTTTTCCCTTAACTACAAAGAGGAAATTCCACTTTTTCCCTATAAGAGACAATCAACTTACAGATGACCGCATTGAAACCACCCATTTACTCCATCCAAGTAAAACAGCACAATACAAAGTTCCGAAACTCTTACAGTTATATAAAAAGGTGCTGGGCCCTCTCTGTTTACATTCTTGCTGCCGGTCCACGGGGGAAACCCATTTTCTAAACGGACTTGCCCCATTTTTTGGTATTGTTGTTCATCTTTACAGGGAAGCGTTTGCAGATAAAGTTCAAAAAAAACGGGCAATTGATAAATTGACGCATGCAAACCGGGTATCTTTACTGAAACCCCAAATGTTGGTAGGTGAAAAACCCAGGAAGCGTTAAACCCCCTGTGGTTCCCCTTTACGCGTTTCCTTTTAAAAATTTTAAAAATCCGTTATTTTTCCCAACCCAACAAGGAAAAATTACTAAAAAAAAAATTAAAATTATTTTTAAAATTTAAATTTTTTTCCCTCAGATTTTTTGCGAGAATAAATAATTTTTTTGTTGGGTTTTTTATTTTGGGCTTCCATTAATTATTTTGTGTTTCCCTTAATTACTTTGTGCTTCCATTAAATTTTATTTTGGGTGTTTCCATTAATTCCCTTATTCGCTCCCTGACCACGGGAGTGAGGGATTTTTCCCCCGGACCCCTTTTCTGTCTTCGGGCAGCTACCTTAAGTTCAGCAAAAACCCAAATTAAAGTAGTGAGGCCCCGGGGCGCTGCTAAAGGGGATATCAACATGGGGGAACATACAGTACGGGGAGTGAAAAACAAATCTGCAAAGCGGGTTTTCGTGGTACGTTAAGTGGAGAACGATGAACGCCCTTCCCTTCCCCTAACATCATCGGGGATAAAAATTTTGGTTTTCCCAACGAGGAATTGTATGGGCGTCCCTTAAGGGTTTTAAAAACAAAAAATTTTTTTGGGGAAATTTTCTACAGTCGTTTAACAAACAACAAGAATTGTCGAGAAATTCCCAAAGGAGCAACGAAAGAGGTGAAATTCAACAAAGGATTTGTGTTAAAATGACTTTCAAAAAGGGTACTTCACAGGGGAAAGGGTACGAATGTACCCTTCGAGGCTACGGCTTATGGCCGCAGGAGTTTTTTCGAAGTTATGGGACAGAAACATTCGGGGCAAAAAAGGGGGTTTGGAGGGTGGTCCATATGAAGGAATGCCGGGGGTTCTTTTTCACCCTTAAAAAAAGACCTTAAAAAGGCCCCATACCATCCTAATTTTTTAAGGGGATCGGTTTTTAAAAACACAGGTTTTTTGGTACTAGGGGGGCAAAAAGGGAAAAAATTTCGTCAAAATAGCTCCCCTTTTGAGGGAAAGGCAGCCCAAATGTCCCAGGGGGCGGGGTTTTTCGAATTTTTCGACACCCAATTGTGATTAGCAGTCGTGTAACTTTGGGGCCTGGCTCTGAAGCCCCGGGAGGGGCCCGGGGGAATACCTCTGGAGCAAGAGGCGACCGGGGGTGGAGGGGGCGGGACATGTTCCCCTCTCCCAGGGGGGTCGGGGAGTTGAAGGTGAAATCTGAAAGAACTTTGTCCAAAGCTTTTAACCCCGGAAGGGTTATTGGCAAGTGAAACAAGGATTTTTTGGATGAAAGGGGGAACCCTGTGCAAAAGGTGTCCTCAGTTCGTGAACTGGAAAAATTTTGGGGGGACAACAAATTTTGAGGAAAAAACTTAGTAAGATTGGGGGGGAGCATGTGTGCCGTGGAGGTACATCAGGAGGAAATTGGGCGAGGGTATAGTTGGGAAGTGTGTTCAAAAACGAACTGCGGCATCAAGAAAGATGAGGGCAAATTTCCCCCCAGGGCAAGGCCGGGGAAGAAGTCCCGGCCGGGTTGTAGCCGAGGACACAAAGTGGTTTGAGGGGGCCCCATTTGCAAATTGGGAAAGGGAGGGGGGGAAATGATGCACAGGAAAACTCGAGTGGCAAAGGAACACGAAAAATGAAAAGTTGCAGTGGGTAAATCCCAGAGGCATAGGGGAAAGCCGCCCCTTCTGTAATTTTCAGATGTTTTCACGCTTAATGTTAATGGACTTAAAAACTGAGGTCAAGAAAGTTTGGTTGGAGTGGTTTTTAAGGGCGGTTTGATGTGACATATGCTTTTTTGGCAAGAGCATAATCACAGGCTGGTAGTGTGTTGAGGGTGAAAGGAAATCGGATGTATGTAACCAGTGGTTTGCAATTGAAAGTGGGGTAGCAATTGCGGTAAAGGAGACCAGCCCCTTGCGTGTCATTGGTTGGGAAGAGGGGGGGGGGGAGGGTCGTGAGGGGGGATGGGGTCTGGGGTAGAGTCCCAGTTAGTTTTCGTGGAGTTTACATGCCAGCAACTAGTAATTTTCAGGGTAAAGTAGATTTTGTCCCAAAAGGTATTGCTGTATCACTTGAGAGGTTTGCCTGCTATAACATAATAGGAGGTGATTGGAATTGTGTGATTAAGGAGGGGGATGTCGAACCGAGAGGGGCGGGTTGGGGTCTGAGTGTGCTGAGGGATGTATTGCGAGATATTGGGGTTGTTGAATGTGGTGGGGAGGGGGGGTTACTATGGAGCATACTTCGTCCGTAGGGAAATGAAGCGCGATTAGACAGAATTTAAAATTAAGCAGGGTAAGATGTTGTGAGGGTGCAAACCTTTTGATGTGGGGTTTTCTGATCACAGAGCGGTAATAGCAGATTTGATTGGGATGGAGTGGTGCGTATTTATTCTGGGGAAAAGGAAATTAAATGTAAGGCTTCTTAAGGAGGAGGGGGGGGGCCTTTTCAGTGATTGGTGGTTGCCTTTTTGGGAGGCTAGGAACCCGGGAGATAGATCGTTAGATTGGTGGGAAATGCAGGCAAAACCTGGAATAGCGAATTTTTTTTTAAAGGCTAGGGGACGAGAAAGGGGCAGGTGCTTTTGGGTTGCAAATTTTCTGGAGGGGGCAGTTGCAAGAATGTTT